GATGGAAAGGTGATTTTTAACCTATATCTTCCAAAAGGACAGATCACTAAAACTGAACATGCAGGACAAAAACAAAAAAAGAAGCTATTACAACTCTATAAAAATGCTGATTTTTTTTTTTTTTAAGTATTTATAATTCCTTTTACTTGTAATACTGAACAATTGCTGCTGGCCTGGTGGCTTTTACTGTGCTTGCCTCTCACTTATATTAATAGGGTCATAACAGCACATATGCTCTGAACTCACATGGGATACTTTGGAACAGACAGCTCCCCCACTTTGAACACTCCAAAACTATGAAATGCTGAAAAAAAAGATTACTATTAGCAAAGCCTAACAATGTGATCCAAAATGAGATTCACTAGGCTCAGACTTCTGATCACCAGACTCTTTCTCAGGGCAAAGAACAACTCTTACCTTATTCCACTTTCATAGCACCCTTCTGAGTAGGTTCATGCACTACATTGCAGTCTTTGAAATAATAGAATCGATATTCCTATTGCAAACTCCCTGATGCATATTTACCTGCTCATTTGTAATGGATCCAAAGGTCCTTTTCGGAGTTGTTTTGGGCTGTCATGTAAATAAGAAAAAAAACAGAAGTTCTGTTTAAATTGTAACATTTAAGTAGGTGAATAAATACAAAATCAACGAAACACAAATGGCAAACAGACGAGCAGCTGGTGTTAAGAGAGGAGTGCACAGGGCAGGGGCTGCAGCCTACGCGCGAGTTGGCCTCGAGGGGAGCACGCTGCGGGGTCCCTCAGCTGGCACCGCGCAGAACTGGAAACACACAGCACACGTGAACCTGCTAACACACAGCGCACACACAACACGCACACACAACACACACCTGGCCTGGCAGCACAAACGTTCCTTACATGGGGCCTTCACTCAAGAGGAACTGCAGAAAGAGCAGTTTCTGGCTAATGCAGGTACCAGCAATATGGTGTGTTATGTCCAAAACCTTCTAGGAATTTGCATTTATACCAATGAACTGACAGAACACATTGATTTCTCCAAGAAATGACAGAAGGAAGGGAAAGAATAATGTGACAAATAACCACACAGAACAGTTTCTTGTGGTACATAAGTACTCTAAAATTAAGACAACCACTATTTGTGAAGTTTTTAACACATTACAAATTACACAACTGCAGATACAATCATAGAATTATTATATACAAGATGATAATTATGCAGTGTGACAGACAAAGGGTATATTTAAGTTGTCCTCCATCTTCACTCAAGAGAAGGTGTCTTTGGAGAAAAGCACAGAGGCAAAGGCAACTCATTTTCTTGTGTCCAAGACCTCGCCCTGTGCATCACAGCAACACTTGTCTTCTCGCACTGTCAGTTAGAGACACTCTCATGTGTGTCATTTCTCTAGCTCGGCTGAATCTTACATAAGCTGAACATGGCTAAACGACACGCACGTGATGAGAGTGAACAGTGCAAGGAGCTGGAGCACACACTTATTTACTGCACCCCAGCAATCCTCTTAAAATCAGCTAGTTTCATTATTTGTAATAATCTGACCCTGCTGGAAAAGCAAAACAAGCAGATTTAAAATAATTATGTTCTTGAAGGTCTAACATGCAATAATGGAAAATAAATTTGGAGGTGAAGGTGGAAGGGGGGAAATCAGGTTCACAGAACAATTTTTTTTTTTTTTAATGATGGTTTCCTACCTGCAGTGTGAATCTATTTTAACTTCTTCAGCAATATTTTTTAAAAGTAATTGCTTAATAACAAAAAACTTTGGTCAACAATAATGCAGCTGTTTGCTACCTCCTATTTATTTCAGATGTAGCACGACAGAAACCCTTTGCAGGGCTCCTGAAAAATTCAAAGGGAGATCCTGGCCACTGTGTCTTCATGGGCTTTGCAAAAGACATGGAACTGCTGTACAACTGCGCTGCTGTATTTGCAAAGAAGAGATTATAGTAGCAGAATTTCTATTTCCAATGCAGAATACTGCATAATAACTATACAATGGGCCGCTTTTCTTAATAAAAGCTGAAAATTAAACTCGCATTTTTCTTTCAAACATGACACTTTGAGTGTGAAAATGGGAGTTTCAAAAGCCAGGCTAAAGCCCTAAATACAAAATATTCTCTATGATAGGCATTAATGGATGTAGGTTCTTGTAATAGGGGGCTATTAGAACACTCCGAGCTGTAATACCCGCAGCGTCACAGCCCTCAACGGCCCCTCGCTCGCCCGCTCTCCCTCGCGCCGGGCGCAGCTCACCAGGACCAGAGCCATCCCTGGGCACGGCCTGCAACCCCCGTTACTTGAAATGGGAGCCGTTACTGCGCACGGCCACCTTATGGACTGAGTGGCAGGACCTCAAAATAGAAAATATATGTATTTTCTTTTCAATAAAAATCGCTACTGATGCAAAAATCTCCTATACATTTGAAACTTTTAACTATTTGTCAAAAGAATTACAGATTTTGACAATGTGGGTCAAAATCCCTGCAAGCTTGCTTCAGCCTGTGCTGGTTTCCCTTGGTTTCACATGGTTTCCCCTGAAGGAAATCAAGTTTAAGTCTGAATGAGATGAACTTCAAATCCACAGCAAGGGCAGGGCTGGGAAGCTTCCCCCGACACATGAACCTAAAGCTTTCTGTTAATTCTGAGTCTTAACGCTTCAGCATATGCACTAGAAAAGAAGGACACACATACTCTGCTATTGTCAACTACGTAGATGCGCCCTGATAACATTTGCAGGACAGAACCAGTTTTCAACAGAAACTTTTTTAGACGAGATTAGTTTCTTTTGAAACATTGATTAGATGGGTGCTTTAAAAACAACAACAAAAAAAAAGATTAAAAAAAAGGCTTTAGTTTTAGTTGACAAATTACATAACTCTACACACAAAGTTAGAAGTTATGTCGTATCCACACTCCTGTGTTACAATGATGTTGAATATTTTATCTTCACAACACTCCTGCTATATGAACAGTATTGTTTATAGACAGCAAATTCAAACAGAGGCATTTTAACAGTTGTCTAAGGTTTGTAGCTTGCCTGAGTCAGACATTTGTATTAATTTTAGTTTAATACATGACTCATAATTTAGTAAGCTTAAACCCTGCTTTTAGAGGCACTCAGAAGAAGGCTGTAGATAGGAGAACTCCCCCTGCTCATGCCTAACAGTTGTTCAGAGATATTCACCCACATCTTATTGAACAGGAAATGATTCCATAACTGCAACAGGGATTAAGACATTAAACATGTTTGAGCTTTACCCTAAATCACCATATTCCTACATCTTGGTAATGCTCCGGACAACTGTTCTGTTCCCTGGCAGGCCTGGGTCAACCCTTTGGGTTGAAGTACTAACATGAAATGAAGTTCAAATGCAGTATTTATGCTAGGTTAAAAAATATGGAACAAGGGAATTTTGATAACAGCATCCTATAGCCGACACTTAAAGATTTGCTCACTTTTCTAGTTAAGACCAGCAATGGGGACAGAACTAAGCGTATCCAAGGAAGGGAAAGAAACAACTACATGTGAGAGGTAGCAGGTAACGGTGCTGAATTTACGGCCACGAGGGCAGACACCTCTAGGCACAGCAGCTAGGAGGGCCCCGGGGAACGCGGGGACCTGCAAACCCTCCTGTCCGCTCCCTGCTCCGGGACCACGGCTGCACTTCCAGGCAGGAGAGCGGCTGCACCCGCAGCTGCCGGCAGCAAGAAAACACCAACCAGCGAGACGGCTGAAAACTGCCTTCACCTAAAGCAGGGCTTGGCCAGGAGCCTCAGCTTCCATTAACTGGAACCAAGGGATAAATGGGAACCAAGGATTATGGACACATAAGGATTCTCCTCATGACAAACAAAAAACAAACAAAACAGATGATGTTAAAGGTTTTCTTCTTAAAAGGAGTACAACATTTAAAAGCCTAAGTTAATAATTTATTGGTATTGTCTCATTCATTCTTATCCACACCAAACAAATATTTAAAGAAAAAAATATAGTTTATTTAGACAGCTTTATTGAGCCTAATCCACATCCTAACTTCTACCTCTGTAGTTTTACTAGAAAGTTATTTAGCAGAGCTACTTAATTTTATTTGAAGGCCTTCTAAACTTAAGCTAGGAGCCAAACCCATTGTATCTTCCCTTTATGCTTGTTTTCAGGTAAAACACAGGCTAAAGTTTTTGTCTCAATGTCATGAATCTATCTCACACACCCCCTTCTCTTCAGGGGCTTTAAGTCTCCAGAAATATACTGAAAACAGCAGAGTAGAATTATGAGTTCTCTAGTTTCGGGTCACAAGGGCATTCTTTTATCTACAGAGACCATACTTCACATCACTGCACCACTGTCTTAGAGATTTTGCCGTTAAAAATACAGTCTTAATGAAGAAAATTTACAGTTCACACAGGCAAAATATAATAGAATGAATAATGATCTCATATAATAGAATTCTTTCATTTTCAACAGTAATTCTGGAACATTCACAAGTATCTTTCAGAGGCTGTAGGCCAGGGGGCAAGCGCTGTTGAACTGAACAGGACAGGAAGCCTCTCTCAGACCTTGCTTCCTTGCAAGCTTTTGTAAAGCTCAAAGAGAAAGTTGTGTTAAGCATTTCATCACCCCAGGGAAGCATTTTTGCTTTGCAAAGAAGAAAGGTTTCCCAAATAATAAAAATTTATCCTTTCTGCATTGTTCTGAGAAAATAACACAGATCTCCTATATTAAACTACAGAAGTGTGTGACACATGCAAGTGCAAGATGCCACTTTGCTACATATTGGAAGATACCAAATAACACTGCATTTTCAAAGTAATAAATCTGGCACAGTCCCTGAGATGATGTGCCAGTAAGGACTAAAAATAGCACTGGAGATACTGTAGAGAGATTGGATTCCAAAACTGATTAAATAAGAGTCTGTTTACCATGTTGATCAGGGAATACTGAGAACAAAGAAAAAGGAAAATGTTTTCTGATGCTGGATTTATCAGGAAGTCAAAGCGTCTCCCTCCTCCTGCAGTACGAAAGACCTATCACAACTCCTGGAGAACTAACCGCACCTTGAGGTGCTTCCTAACCAAGGTGGCATCTCAGCCGCTTCCAGGCTAGAAAAGGGAAACCATCACAAAGAAGCGGCCTCCGGGGATGACGACCTGATTGAACAAGAAGCCTAGAATTCATACGCCAAAAAACCATGGCAAAAATAACTGCAGCTACCAAACCACAACCATCAAAAGGTCCACACAGGTATTCAACATATTTGCCAAGAACTCGGGATCACGTTGGCAGTTCATGACGTAAATCATTTTTACTATAGTTTTTATGCATGAAACAACTACCACACTATGACAGAGGTCAAAATTCACAATACATGTAAATTCTGAAAGAAAACCAGGTAGTCCATATACTATAGGAAAACGAACCATGTTCTGATTTTTATAAATGAAATTTTCTGGAAATTTATCTTGAATAAATAATTAATTCCAGTGAAACAACAGATGGTGTAAAACTGCTATGAAAAAGGAGAGTTCTGTCCATCCTCCATGGTCTGCTTTGAAAACTGACTTTGGAATTACAGTAC